AGCCCTTCTCACATTACAATTGCAGGAGACAGATTCCATTAGCGGTATCTGAAATTGAGTGGAGAGCTGCTCCGTTATCAGACTTGACTCATAAGCGCCGCTATTAATCAGAGCTATGATAGCATTTATATATTTCAAGCTATCTGCCGCCGCTGTGATATTCTGCTACAAAGGGTTGATGGGACTTAGGGAAGGGAACAATGGAGCTTTCTGGGAAAAGCAGAGTAAATCAAGAAAGTCTGTGACTTCCGCACATTCTGAAGGGATTGCGGTTTACATAAATTTTCTCCCAATTGGAGATTGAGCTCTTCCTCATCTTACACATGGGATTTAGTTGTCACTCAATGGTAACAGCTGTGAAAAGGTGAAGCGGCCCACCGCTCAGAATATTGCCTCCGCTTTTAAAGCAATTAACCCATGAACAGGAGGATACCTGGTGATATCAAAGGGATTAAGCCAGGCAGTGCATTATTAACATTTCCTTGAACTAATTCTAACTCTGACTAGCTGTCAGAAAAGACTCTTCAGTCTTTAAAAAAAAAAAAAAAAAAAAAAAGGGTGTTTTTTTTTTTTTGCCCTGCTTTTCCCCCCCGTCCCTCCCCTTCAAAACGAAGCAGAGTTACTGCAGCCTCATGTGCCTACTTTAGAGAGCCAAATGCAAATGAACAGATTTGGTAATGTCTTCAAACAGACTGAACTCTGCGCCGGTTTATTATGGGGACGAGTGGGAGAAAAAAAAAAATAAAAATATACGTAAGATCAATTAGCCAGAGGCCATGGGAGATATTTTAAAAGCAAATTAGTACATGAGTACCTTCCTTTCTTCTCTCCCTCCTAAAAGTTTATAAGTACCTGTTACTAAGCACATCTACTTCCCAAACGCCCGAGATCCTCCTGCTGTGCTACAACAGCGATAATCTGTGATAATCTGTAATCTGGAAAAATCCAAATGTGCCCTGCAAAGAGATTCCTCCTTCCTCAAAGTCCAATTTTTTTAATTTCCCACTCTGGCTGAGTGGGCACTGGCTCCTCTCTCATCCCTCCATTTTTCCCCAAACCATGGCCACACAAAAAAAGGGGTCAAACTGTTCAGGGATGACTTCTGCTCTGGCAAACCCATGTGCCCCAAGGACATGGAGTATTTCCTCACTCAGCAGAGGCAGAAGACAACTTCTCCCAGCACCAATTAGTTTTCAGGGAGCATCAGTCGTGAGGTCCCTCTGGAATGGCCATAAAGGTCACTCATCCTCCTGGTCCTTCTTAGGGACCTTCCAATGAGAGCTCCAGGACACACATCCCGGGAGCCAGGAAACTCAGGACCATCAGGATGGTCAAGTGCCATTTCCAAAGCATTCTGATGGTTTCAAAATGATCAAATAATTTTGATGGTTTCATTATGCAACACGACTAACGCTCCTTTTTGTTGGCAGCGGGAGAAGAGTTGGTTCTGGTTTTTATTTTTATATAGATCCACAGCGTGTTGTTTAGAAGGTTTACAGGGCAGGAAATATATGTATATATGTAAAATACATAAAAAAATATATATGTATGTATAATGTATTAGTCTAAAAGTTAATACAATACCCAGAACAGCATAATGAAGAAATGTGAACTGTTTAATTTAATGTAACATTTTCGCCCTTCTCTAAACACCGCGTCCAACTCAGCCAGAACAAAGCTGGCAAAAACTTACTAGAAGCACTTGGGCAATGACACCACCTACTCTGCTACAGCCCCTGCAATAAAACAGTTTTGTATATTTAAATACCTCAAAACAGCCAAACTATGGGGAAAAAAAAAGCACTTAAAGCAGGGGAAAGCATCCTATTCCTCTTTGCAACAGAGAATGCAAAGAATGCATCCCCTGTGCAGAAAATGACACTCTGGCAATCATATTATAAGAAGATAATTGGTTTACTTTGTAAACTTGCTATGCTTTGCCTCCCACAGTAAAACAAATAAATAGTTGTTTAAAGAAAACAATCTTACAGCCGCGCTCGCTGCGTCCTAAAAACATAAAGCAGCTCCCCCCTCCTCCAAAGCAAAGATGAATTATTTGCCTCACTTACAAGCAGTCCGGGAAAACTCTTTGTAAATGCCATTTTACGATAATTACAGGCGGTTTATTAAGACTGTGCAGAGGGGGGGGAAGAAAAATCCATATTTGAGAACTAACTCAAAGGAGTGAGCGGCTCGCTCGGAAATAGCCTGGATCGCTGACAAAGGGGCTTTTTGCATCAACGTGGTTCGACATAATTTTGCTTTAAGAGGAACAATCCAGGCTTAAAAAAATATAATTAAAGGAATAACATGGTATACTGTAATATAATGAAATTAATAAACAAACAGCAGAGCATCCCGCCAGCCATCACCTGGCAGAGGAGGAATCTGTTTAAGGAATAAATTCGATCCTAATCCCGCACGTGCCGTAACATCCCAAACACCACCCAGCCACGGAGGGAACCACTCTTTCCTTAAGCAGCAAAATTATCCCGACCTGCCGAGGAACAAACTCAGGAAGTGACTCAAACAAAAAAAAAATCGATGGGGAAATAAAATAATAAATAATAAAAAGAAAAAAAATGGGGGGAGAGATTTACTGTCCGGGGATGCTGGAAAAACCCAGCGAGGGTAAACAGCAACCCTGCCCGGCTGGTGGGGAGAAAAGAAAGGTTTTAGAGGTTAAGTTCAGGTCAGACGACAAATGAAATTGTAACAACCCAACTGACATTGTATAATGTCTTCTTCACTCGATCAATAGGGCAGCGTCGGCCCCATTTCCATAGAGATGGCTTCCTCCCCGCTGAAGGGTGGCTATTGTTTGAGGAGGGAGATTTGCCACTTGAACCGTGCTGCTCCCGAAGGATGTGTACTTCATCAATTATTTGTGTTCCTAACATCTACATATTTTCATATTAACGTCCACGTTTCACGCAGCAAGAGGAGCAGGTGCTGGTTTTTCCGCCGGTACCTCGTAGGGGTCACCCCGTCAGCTGATTTTATTTAGAGGCAAAAACGAGGGGGGGATTTGACAGACCCATTTAGATTTGTGTGGACAAACAAGTCCAGTTAGAAACACACCACATCACCTTCAGATAGTTATGGCTTTCATGCAGTGAATACTTTCTAATTTTTTTTTTTTTTTAAGTAGATAAAAAGACAACAAAAACAATTTTGTGGTTTTTTGGCCAAATGGACGTTGTAAAAAATAAAACAGTTTTAAGGTGCTTGAAAGGAAAAATGTAATGTTGCAATTTGGACATAAAACTTTCCAAGAAAAAATCAACCCTTGCCTGGCTGAATAATTGATTCTGTCACTATCTATGAAATAATTTCTGTAAGTCCTAACAGTTTTTATCATCTCTCGGTTCCAGGTTTCCCATTCCTTCGTGCAAATTTTAAATTTAACAGAAGCACCCTCTTCCAAATCCAATTAAACAACAACAACAACAAAAAAATTAAACCTTTAGAAGTGTAAAAGTAATTCCCAAAATAATTCCCAAATTTATCCTTTCATTGCTCTCCCGCATCCTCATTTCTGTGAAGCGACGATCGCATCATTTCGTGTGCAACAAAGTGGGCAGGAGAGGAACCGTCTCACTGCAGTTCCAACTAAAAACTGGGGCAGAGCTTCACAGTAACTGCAATAATGGGAACAGCCATCCTCAAAAAAGAAATCAGAAACCAAATATTAAAAACCTTCAGCAACTCCTTGCAGGAGTTTTTAACACAATCGAGTTGTGCTCTGACGCTGTGCCGGGCACTGTGCACAGGAGGGTAGCGCCACTTCCAGCTCCCCAAATACGCTGCAAAATACAGGATATTAAATTAAATAATGCTGACTTAATTACATATATTAAAAGCAATCACTTTAAATGCCTATGGAAATATTAAGGAATTACTTAAGCAACTGCAGCAGGTGCACTTCGGAGCTGATGCTACGTGAAAGGTGACGCGCAGAAAGCAACTCCTCTGCAGCAGAGGAAGATGCATCGGGATTTGGGGGATTTTGGGACCAAAGTTTAAGTGAGCTCAGGCCTCTCAGGCTGTGCAGGATCTGGCCCCTCACCACCCTCCCCATTTACTCCTGCTCTCGCTCTCTGAGAAGGTTTCCCTGAGGGGCGACGCAGCTCTGGGGACGGGTGGGAGAAAAGGGCTTTTGTCAAAATAATCTCGGTGAGGAAGCGCCCCCCGTCTCATCCCGGAGCGCCCCGATATCATTCGCAGCCTCAAAACGTGCCCTATTTTCCCTGCAAAAAGAACATCAGAAATTGTTTATACGGGTTGTGATAATCCTCTCAAATATGGGTCAGGCCGAGGTTAAGAGCAGCCAGAACTTGCACATCAAAGACGAGCGGGGTTAACAAACCACCTCCCCCCCCCCAATCCCGACCACGTGCACAATCAGGATTGTTCCCTTTCCTCCCGAGGTTAGAGGTCCAGGGAGAAGGGATGGACTCGGGGCATCTCCCAAACCCGCAGCCAGCAGGGAAAGGCAGGGATGCTCTCCCTGGTCCTCGGGTACCACCGGCAGGCAACTGCCCATCCGCCTCCGCCGGGAGCTGCAATTAAACCAAGTTCACGGTTTCCCGATAGGTGAAGCTCATCCTGTTAATTTAAACAGACCATCTGCATCTTTCGAGAACGACAAACTTCATTAGTTCTGGTTAGTTAAACCGAGCGGTGATTTGTGATAATGAGCCTGAACAACCTGTCACGTCTGTGGAAGGGAAAGGGCGCACTTTTTTATTATTGCTATTATTATTATTTAACAGAAAAGAAAAGGGGGGGGGGGGAAGAAAAAATTAAAGGGGGAACCTTTTGTGTGAGAAAGAAGGTCAAATTCAGATTAAATCGCTGTTAGGTTAATCAGAGGAACTAATTAGGGAGGGGTAGGGTGGGGGGAAACACTAGTCCGAAGGCCAGAGGGGCACAGAGGGAGCCTTCGGAAAACGTCCCGAGCCGGCTGACAAACAACAAGACACCCCGGATGACTTTACCTGAAAACCGTGTAAAAAAGCAAAGAGGCGGCAGCTGCTCCCAAGAAGCCGCAGAGGAGATTGACTCTGGAGGCGGGGGAGCCGCCGGGCAGCAGCCCCGTCGCCACTTTGGCCAGCAGGGTGAACAGGGGGTAGCCGGGAGGGTGGGCGACCTACGGACAAGACAGACCGACACCGGGCGGGTTTGGAAAAGGGCTGGAATTCGACCACATCAAAAGCAGAGCAGCACGCCCCCGGGATCCCCCCCCACCACCACCCCCGACCTACCCTTTTTGGTACCAGTTTCAAGCCCGCAAATATTTTTTCCTTTCCCTTTAGTGGATCTGGCTCCACGCCTCTCGCCCATAATAATGAGGCGGCAGCGAGAAAAAGGAGGTGCCACGTTTCATTAGCGTGCCTTAAAGGGCTCCTTGTTTGGGTTCACAGTATATTAGGGTCATTCAAAAGGCTGTTGTTGTTGTTGTTTGGTTGGTTGTTTTTTTTTTTTTTGGGGGGGGGGTGTTTGTTTTTCTGTTTGTTTGTTTTTGGATCGGGATTTTTTTTATTTTTTTTTTTAAAGCAGCTTCTCAACTATTTTATTGGTTAGCAAGTTGAAAGACCACACTGCTATCGGATTACCACCGCGCTGACAGTCCTAAGGTCTTGCCTAAAGGGATCATGCACCATAATAAAGTTTATTAAATAATAAAACTTATTAAAATTGTTAACCCGATTTATTTTATTCTCCCCAGCTTATACAAAATTTGGGTTGATAATAAGCCAGCTACTGTATATACAGTAAAGCCTTTGCTTTATAATTTAGTTTAATTGGATTTAAAACTTGAAGTAAATTGTCGCGTGCTGTACTTATAAGTTAGTAAAAACTGTGGTTTGAAAATAAATTAATCTACTTTACTCCATGCTTAATTAAACTTCCTTAATTCCTAAAACTGTTAATGAGAGCATTGATTAAACAATAAAACTAATACTTACTCCAAGCTCATATGCGGCTGTGATCAGCTCCCCTGTGAAAAAATAATGTAAAACCAATAATTACTATTAGGAAATGACACTCCTCCAAAGTTTTCAAAATCCAAATGCTTGCATTGGGGTTTTGCATTAATTTGACTGGATAAAACTGTAAATCTGTGGAGATTTAACAGCATGAAATTTTCTAAGAATATTTTCTCCCTCTGATGTCACTGCACAAAATATCTTTTGTATGTTTTCGCGAGACTTTTGTGAACAGATAAGTGAAAATATAGGTAGGCTCGGGTAAAGAATGGCCTGAGATACTCAAAACACAGACATTTGTGTGTGTGTGTGTGTGTGTATTTTTAATTTAAAACCGACTGACTCGGTAACTTTCAAGCACTACAGTTTACAACGCTTAAGCTGCATTGTCTCTTCGACAACCCAGATGTTTCTCATTAATAAACAACACAAAACAAAACAAACAGCTTTACAGTTTTAAAGAGGGGAAAATATAATCACTAATCGCGCGAATCTGCATCCACATATTTGGGAAGGCTGCTCTGCCCTGATGCTAAAGCAGTTCTGCTTTGCAAGTAACTCTTTTACCTGTCGGTGGACGCTGCATTCTATTAGAAACACCATTTAGATTTTGCATTTCGTTTGTATTTCACACCAGGACAAATAACTGCCACAAAAAGACCCGAGTTAGCCTAATAATTACTAATACCTGGCATTTTCAGAGCAGCTGATACTGAAGCATTTTGCAGAGAACGCTCCCTAATGACGCACATTAAATACATTCAATAGGCACAACATGTCCAGGGATGAACCAAGGGAGGACGAAATTAAAAAATTGCGCCTGGTTTTCCTTCTTTCCCTCAAATTTCATAATCCAATTTTGCAGAGCCCGGGTTTTACCGGTCCTGCTAATTTTGCAAGTGCCAAGGTCGCAGCAGCTTTGTCCCGTCGCTAGATGGGAAAGGCACAAACCAAGGGCACCGCTGGCTTTAAATGCTAAATTAAGAATATTTTAAATTTCCACACAGTTATGTCCTTACCACGCAATGCAAAGGACGACATTGGTACCAATGGCGCCTTTAAATGCTGATATTACAGTAAATGGTGCATTTTAAAAGGAAGATGCTGCTGGCATTGCTGCTGTTGGCTGGGATACTGCTCCCAAGCCAGGCATGGTTTCACCTTCATCAAAGTCCTTTTGGGATACAGCAATATGTGCATCTAAAATGGCTAAAGATTAAGATTAAATCCATGCACGTCGCTGTGATATTGGTTCATATCACAGGCAAGAATAACCCCCAAAGCAACACAGCCACAAACCAACAACAAAGCTGAAAAAAAAAAAAAAAATACTGGTGGATAACCCCGCCAAGCTTGAAAGACAACAGCATAACTCTGCCTTGTAAGAATTAAGGAAATAAAAGTAATAAGACCTGCAAAAATAAGCTCTTGGGCTGCAGGCCTGTTGGATTCCACTGGGAAAACCAGAAGGAAAACCCACTGCTTTGGATAAGGTTAATTCTCCATCTCCCACCCACATACCTGGGCATCACTTACAGCCTCCATGGGCTAGAGAAGCAAAGAGAACTAACATTAAAAAACCAAAACACACAAAGGAAGACTGCAGCATCCACAAACTTGATTGCAATGTATTTCTCATGAGAGAGAATGACCCTGGGCATCTTCAGATGCTGGCTCAAATTGAAGGGTTTATTTCCTCCAACTCCACGGGACCAGGACTTAGGACCCCATGATCATTGTGGGTCCCTTCCAACTCAGGATATTCTGTGATTCCTGATGTAAATACATTTCTGACCATCCAGATTGATTCCCTAATAAAGGTGTTCAGGTAACAGGCCTAATGCTGCCTGAAAACTGATTTATCACCAGCAAGGTTAGAGCTGATGTTTGAAACACCACAGCGAATGTTTGGTTTTGTTTTTTTTTTTTTTTTCTTTTAACTTTATTTGAACCCTTTTTAAGCTGTTTTAACATCTGTGCATGTTTCTGAGTTATCATTCATCCCCTCATTTCTTTATTATAGCAGTAAGTAACAACAGTGAGCTGCCAATGGAATACCGATTGCCTCTGACACTTTTGGATTACTGCAAACTTCGGGAACAATTAAAAAATATACAGATAGCTCTTAAAAAAAAAAAAAAAGAAAAGAAAATACCAGGCTCCCTGCCTTGAAAGCAGATCCAGCAAATCCTTAAGCAGGTCTTTACTCACGCAAGTAGCTTCAGTGCTTTTGGTGGCACAAGTTTGAGCTCCGTGCTCAGGCACGGGGCAACTTAATCCCCTTGTGCAGAGACTTTCCAGGGGGACTCCAGCTGAAGCATCCCATGGGCTGCTCAAGCCATGAGAAACAGGGGAATAACCCCCAAAAAACTTCTAAGTGATGGGGTGGCTGCTGGCTGGGACAGGCACGAGGGGACAGCGGGGAAAAGCCCATCTCTGTTCAGCCTCAGTAAGCACACACAAGCCAGGCAGCAGATTTAGGAGTAAATGCAAAAGATAAATATAAATAAGACAGGGAACGAGGACACCATCCCAAGAGATTTCTTCTAGTATAATTCCCTCTAAAGTGGGTCCTGGAAGTCTGTTAAAGCACCCAGTGCCCCCAGGCCACTCCTGGAGCATCTCTCTGTGACACACTCCTGGTTGGTGTCCTTGATACCTCTGACTCCTCCTGGCAGAGGAGTGATGCACATAAATATATATGTGCATTTCTATACACACAGGTGCTGTGTTAGGAAGAACCTTTGGAAATTAGGGAAAGAGCAACCCCCCTCCTGCCTCCAAAATGGGACAAAATAACCACAGTAACCCAGGGAAAGTGGGGTCAACCCACGTGCTGTTTGGTTGCTCGCTGTATTTACTGGGGTAATCCATATCAAGCACAAAAATAAATCCCAGCATCGATCCATCACCTCACTGGGAGAACCTGCATCCCTCTTGGTAAAGGGTGCTAATGGTTATTTGCACCCTGGAGGGAAAATCCAAGCTGAAGGACAATTAAAAAAACCAGGTTCCAAAGCTTTGCTCAGCACGGAGCACAGGGACCCTGCACATCCACAGACATGTATTTTCCATCAGGAAGAGCTTTAACAGGCAAAATGGGAATAACTGCAAATATATTGACCATCACATTATTAACTGATACACCCAGAAAGTGCAAAACCAGCCCTTTCAGTAGCGTGGGAGCAGAAGCAAAAGCTATCAGGGTACATGCTGGCCAGCCTTGCCAGTATTTCTCTCTCTCTCCACGCATACTGAGGCTGTAAAATCTAGGCATCTATTAAAAGCCCATTTATTTATAAGGAATTTCATGCACAGCTTGGATTTGAAGCCAGCGATGGCCAGGAGGCACAGAGTTAAACAGACCCACTCAACGCTCTTCTGGGATACAAAAGAAAGAAAGAAAGTATCCTGGACACTTGTTCCATCAAAAAAAAAGAAAAAATTATCAACACAGGGAGAGGGTCAGGGCAGTGGGGGGGACCTGGAGCACTGACCCCACAGAGGGAGCTCCAGGCAGTGCCCCAGCCCCGGGGGGGGGAACACCCCAACGCAGGGTGTCAGTGGTGCTGCGGGGCACGTGCCCCCATGGGGAGGTTCAAATGCACCAAACCCACTATGTTAAGCCCCCCAAAGAGTGCCTGCACTGCACCAGCGACCGTGGGGCGTGTGAACTTATGGGATGGGCAACCCTGTGGAGTGAGGAACCCTATGGGGCGATGATGGCACAGCAGCTGCTATGGGGGAGCAATCGTACGGGATGACAGCAACACTGTGGAGTTCGAAACCCTACAGAATGACAGCAACCCAATGAGGGTGACAGCAATGCCCCAGTCCCTACGGGGGAGAAAGCCCTTCTGAGGTGACAGGAACCCTCTGGGTGTGACAAAAACACACCAGCCCCCCCTGGAACAAGGAACCCTTCAGGGTGACGGCAATCCTATAGGGTGACAGCAATGCACCAGTCACTATGGGGGAGAAGCCCTATGGGGTGACAGCAACCCTATGGAGGTGACAGCAACACACCAGCCCCTCTGGAGTGAGCAACCCCATGGCGTGACAGCAACCCTAAGGAATGACAGCCACCCCATGGGGTGACACTGATGCAGCAGTCCCTATGGGATAACAGCAACCCTATGGCATGACAGTGGTGCCCCACCCCAATAGGATGAGCACCCCTATGCGATGACAGTAACTCTATGGGGTGACAGCAATGCACCAAATCCCCTGGGGTGAGCAACGCTATAGGGCGACAGCAAACCTGTGGGGTGACAAAAACCCTATAGGGTAGCAGCAACTGGTGACAGCAACCCTATAGGGGTGAAAGCAGTTGCACCAACCCTTCTGGAGTTCACAAATCTATGGGGTGACAGCAACCCTGTGGAGTTGACAGTGATGCACCAGACCCTATATGCTACACCTATAGAAGGAGCATCCCTGTGGGGTGACACTGATGCTCCAGACCCTATGGGGGAGTAACCCTACTGAGGTGACAGCAACCCTACAGGGGTGACAGCAATGCACCAATCCCCACAGGATGAGCAGCTCTATGGGGTGACAACAACTTCTGAGGGTGACAACAACTCACCAGTCCCTCTGGAGTGAGGAACCCTATGGGGTGACAACAATGCACCAGCCCCGAGGGGCTGAGAGCATCCCTATGGGGTGACAATGATGCACTAACCCTTATAGGATGAGCACCCCTATGGGGTGACAGCTGGCCCGTGGGGTGACAACAATGCACCAGACCCTCTAGGATGAGCATCCCTATGGGGCGACAGCAAGCCTATGGGGTGACAGCAACCCCACGGGGTGACACTGATGCACCAGTCTCTTTGGTGTGACAGAAATCCTATGGGGCGACAGCGATGTCCCAGCCCTGATGGTTCAACCCCTAAAGGCTCAACCCCCCACCTCACCCCCCCGAAGGCTGACCGCGATGAAGCCCCTACGTGGCGAGGGTCCCCAGGGTGCCACCTCCCCATAGGGTGACCCCCCGGCCCGGCCCCAGGGGCTGCCCCGCCGCCCCGGCTACGTTACCCGCATCCCCGCCGGGCAGGGCGGGCGGCAGCGTGGCCGCGTACAGAGCGGCCACGGCAGCGCCCAGCGCCCCGGCGGCTCCTCCCGCCCCGGTCCCGGTCCCGATCCCGATCCCGGTCCCGGCCCCCGTTCCCATGTGCGCCGCCACCTTCCGGGTTCGGTCGGGCCGTGCCACTCCACCGCCCCGCGGGGGGGGGGGCGGGGGGAAACATCCCCGTGCCTCTCCCGTCCCAGCTCCCTCCGGGCCTCTTTCCTGGAGCTCCTGTTATCCAAAAGGCTCTGATAGGAACAGGGAGAGCCGCGAGTGCGCTGAGGCAACTCAGCGCGGTCGCCCGTCCTCTTCCTCCACCCCCCCCTCGCATGGAGGAGTTGGTACAGCCCAGGAGGGCTATTGCGGCCGGGCGGCTGGGCGGGACCACCGCGCTTTTGGGGTGGGGGGGAGGCGGGGCGAAACCACGGGGAGAGGCTGGGGGGTGGGGGGGGGGAGGCGCGTCCAGCCCCTCCTGCCCTCCCGGGATCGTCCCTTCAGCGAAAATATATGTTTAGGGATCAGCACCTTCTGCCCGCTCTCAGCCACGTCAAACCCCTCCTGTGATGCTGCAGCTGGTGCCGGTGGGTGCTGGGTGCAAGACCCAGCCCGTGGACACCACCCTCCCCCACCCCAAACCCCAATGTGCCAGTGCACCGATAATAAAGATTTTAACCCCTAAATTGGGGTTTTCCTTCGCCGGCACGAGATGCTGGTGAGGGAAAATGACTGGAGGTGTCAGCGTACGGAATATTAAAAGCAGCGATTCCCGCTGCGGGAGTAGTTAAGGAAGGCAAATAGCATCCCGAGACCTATCGATAGAGGACTAAAACACATCCGTGGAAATCATTATGGGATTGTACAAAAGAGCGGCGAGGCCATACCTGGAGAATTGAGGCAGATTAAAGAGAGGCTTTTGAATACAAATGAAAAAAAAAAGGTATAGAAGAGGGTAACGAGGATAATAAACAGCCTCGTGGATTAGATCTAAGTGGAGACGTTAGAAAATTAGGTTTGCATTTATTAGGGAAAAAAAAAAAAAGAGCAGGATTAAGGGTTGACACGACTGAGAAAACACACGCATCGTGTTCTGGTGACTGGAGAAGCTGCTGCCGAAGGGCCCTTCTGAAACAGCAGCACAAAACCCCCTAAAAAAGACACAACCTGAAGCCAAAAAAGGCATCGAGGGAGTTCTGGGGTCCTGTTGGAGTGAGTCCAGAAGAGGTGATCAGAGGGATGGAGCACCTTTCCTCCAGGGAAAGGCTGAGAGAATTGGGATTGTGTAGCCTGGAAAGGAAAAGGCTTTGGGGTGCCCAAAGGGAGCCAAATAGAAAGATGGAGAGGGACTGTCTGAAAAAGCATGGAGCGACAAGACAAGGGGGAATGGCTTCACACTGGCAGAGGGCAGGGATAGATTGGGTACTAGAAAGAAATTCTTCCCTGTGAGGGTGGGAGGCCCTGGCACAGGTTGCCCACAGAAGCTGTGGCTGCCCCTGGATCCCTGGAAGTGCCCAAGGCCAGGTTGGAGAGGGCTTGGAGCAACCTGGGATAGCAGAAGGTGTCCCTGCCCATGGCAGGGGGTGGGACTGGATGGTCTTTGAGGTCCCTTCGAACCCAAACCGTCTGTGATTCTATGAATTTAGGAAAGGTCTTCTCACACAGTCCAGAGGAGACAAAATGAAGCTGAAGTTTGACCCGCTCAGAAGTTAACGAGGTTGCTGGAAGGAACTGGTGTTTGAGGGTGTGTAAACACGGGCTGAGTAACAGCTGGGCCCACGTGGCTGCCTTCCTTTTGCCCAGAAGGCTCCGTGGTGGCCGAGTGAGCCTCAATGCACTCAACTCGCTGGCAGGTTTTCTGCCAGTTGTTGGCTGAGGTTCATCGGGGAGAAGAAAAAGATATGTTGCAATCCTCCATTGCCAGCCATTGTCACTATGGAAATGAATTGTTCCCGCGCCCGTTGGGGCTCCTAAAAACGTAATTTTAGCAGCAAAGTGCGCAGCCTGTGTGTGAAAGCAGGCTGGTGGCGAGGCTCTTTATCCGGAGCGCGGCTTTTTTCTTCGTGGTATTTTTCTTTCTTTGTGTTCCCCTCGGAAAAGGCATCCAAAGACAAAATGTTCACCGTGGCTGATTACAATTATATTGATGGGGGAGGCAGCAATTTGCAGGCGAATATCGAATGGCTGGTAATAACACGGTGGGGACAAACTGTTCTTTAATTGTCCTGCAAGTTGTTTCATATCTTTGTCATGCAGAAGCTGGAACTTTTAGGGTGCCAGTGACAAAGTACTTTGCTGTAGTGTGGTAGGGCAGGCTCACAGCAGCCTTTATCTTACTGAATAACCACCACCGTTTCAAAGGCCGGGATTACAGACACACTTTATGTTGAAAAGAGCATTTACGTTTTTCCTCTGTAAACAGAAATCTATTAATTTGTGGGATTTGACTCCCCTTTCTTCACCAGCCATGACCCAGGGGTCCAACAAAGACAAGAAGGACAAGCAACCCCTTTTTTTCTTGTTTTGTTAGAGACAGGTATGGTAATTTTTGGCTCATTTTCATCCGTGCTCTGGAAGTTGGGAGTTGTCCAGACCCAAGTTAGATTCACCTCGCTGCAGAGCAACCCTCCAGGATGTCTCAAAGTTTTGAGCATGGGCTCAACAGCAATAATTTAAAAAAAAATAAATATATTGCTTAAAAAAAAACCAAACAGCACAGGGGCAAGTTGAAAGCATGTGAAAGATGGCCTTGTGCTACATATAGTGATTTATTTTTTAAAAAATCCCTGGGACTTGTAGCACGAGAGCATACTCTAGTGGCAACTGAGCAAAGAAAGTGCTCGTGGTTTGTGCGGTGTCTTGATGATGATCCACCTCCTTCCCACCTTTCCTCGAGAGGCTTTTCCTCTCCTATCTCCTCCAGCTCCACACTCCGTGCTCATCCCGACAGGAAATACCCAAGGCAGGCAGAGAAAATAAACAGGAACTGCTAAAGTAATTTTAAAAACCCAGCTTGGGAACATATCTCCCCAAAATGACTGTGTACTTAGAGAGTTGTCTTTTTACCAGGCTCTGTTGCAGATTTTCTCCTGAGAGACGCAGTTTAGAGGAGGCAGGAGATAGGCAAAGGGAGAATAATACTTAAAGCAAATTCTATTCACCCATGGCAGTGTCATTACAAACTTGAATGAGCACAGTTATTGCAAATAAATAAAAACAATAGACCAGAACCAGTTTTACATAAGAAAATACTGAAATACTGTTCAATTAGTCCTAAGCTTTAGTTAAACCTTTTCTTTTGCCCATCAGGTGATAAGGTTAATACAGAAAGCACTCAACTGCTGTACTTGTGTAACAACAGTCAGCACCCATTTAATGAACTTACACGTACACACGTTTAGCAAAGCTTCAATATTGTCAGCGCTGGGCTGGCAGGGAATTTTAATGGCAAAGTAGCCAGCCTGGTCTTCATTCTAAACAATATCCCTGTGTAAGGAAAGCAGGTCCTGGTGGGGACCACTAACAATACAAATAAGCACTGCTTCTATATTTAAACAAGGAGTTTGGCAGTGTTTCCACTCACGATATCTGGCCGCCTGCAAAGCGCCAAAAGGAAGGTTATGCTGCTTTTATGTGTTCTTAAGTGGCTTGAATAAGCTGCTTTTTATGACTTCTTAGGGTTTTGTTGAGAGGAGGGGACGAGGCCAGGCTGCTATCCCACATTTTCAGCAACATGGCTGCAGTGGATGTGGTGCAGAGGGAGCTTCCAAGTGGGATAAAGCAGAATAAAAGCACACCTGGTCCAGTGATCATCCCACTGTCCTGGGCCGTGGGATTCTCCCTGCCCCATCCTGCAAAAGCACGTGTTCAGATTGGTCCAGGATGGGCCACCAAGGACATGCTGGAATGTGGCTGGTCACCCAAAGCAGGTGGGGACCTCTGTGCCAGGATACACCACACGCTCCTGGTGTTCTCCCTGGCCATTTAAGGGACTTGGGTTCATGCAACTGGGATACCCCCAGTGCCTTGTGAGCCCCTCAGAATTCAAAAAGAAGGTAAAGGTCTCCCAGATGGGAAGAGGACCCAGCAGTGGTTGTGGTCAGAGTTCTGGGAGAATGTGGGGGCTCAGTTCTATGAGAAGAGACTTGGTTCCAGTGCTGTCAGCACAGCTGGTTCATTGTTTAAAAAATCAGTTTTGTTTTATTCCCAAAACAGGAAAATAGATTTGACTCATTTCCCCATGCAGATCTTGTTTCCCACGATTTTGCATATTTGTCAGAGAGGCTTGATTGTCTTGTAGAAGACCCCCAGTCTCTGCCTCCACTGGTCTCAGTGGCCTCCCAGCTGATTTTCTGACACACTGAGCAGTCACAGATCCCATTTGTCTCAGCTGGTTTTCCCAGAACTCTGACAATCATCTCTGTGTTTTCACACCTGATTTCCTTAAACTAATATTATTTATTTGTCCACGTGCCTTATTGGCAGACTTGGGTCTGGTGTCTGATTTGCACAGTGACTCCAACATCACCTCAAAGACCATCTTCTCCCAAGTGCAGCTGCTGCACCACGTGAGGGCCCTGTTCCCTTCATGCCTGGACTGCTCAATTACTCTGTGATTAGTTTTTGCAAAAAGGGAACACTTTTCCCTAAATTTATAAACTTAAATGCTTTTCATCCTTCTTCTAACTACAGGTGTAGGACATCGACTGCCATCTCATACCTTGGTGGCCAAACTCGCAGCCTGGCCCAAGAAATGCCCACACACAGGATGTGGCTGAAGATCTGCAACAGCAGTTTAGGGGTCTCCAGGGTTTCAAACTCTCATTCCTTCACCCATGTTCATAGGTCCAAAACTCATTTGGGTAAGAATTTCCACATTCCATCAGTCCTCTCTGTTTCATTCCCATTTATTAAGCTGTGATCAGATTTATTAAGCTGTATCAGCTGAGGCTCGTGCTCAGGGAATTTGCAGAAAGCATGTCAACAAGGACAAGAACTGCACCCTTCAAAACTGCTCTCTTTACCTGGCTTAAGCTGTGTTTTTCCTACCTGCCATATCTTCATTGTGTTCTTCCACTGAAAAAATCCCTGGTACTGCTGTTGGTGGCTAAACTACCACAGTTTGTCTTTTATTCTGGTTGGAAACCAATGGAGCTCCAGAGTTTAGTCCAAACATCTGTGTTCTCCCATGAGGTTTTTGTTAGATCTGCTGCAG